GGGCTACAGGCACCGAGGGACCTTCATGGGCTGTGGGAGATCTTGTAGCAGGATCAGGCTGGGTTTGGGAAGGGGCAGGGGGAGCCTACGGTGGCAATCCTGGCAGCAGGGAATTCTGAGCAGCCCCGTGACGGCTTTTGTCACTCCTGAGGGTGGGTGGGGAGAGCGTCGGAGAGACTTTCTGATGATCCCTATTAGAAAAGAAGCATAATGGACTTTTCCCCTTTCTTCATGTCCCTTAGGGACATGCCATGGGGGCAGACTGCAGCCTGCCCAAGGATGGATGTCTGTCCGCAAAGGCTCCCTGTCCTGAGGATGCCAGTGCTCCCATCGCTGCATGGCGGGGGGGTGGGGGGGTGTGTGTGTGTGTGTGTGTGTGTGTGTGTGTGTGTGTGTGTGTGTGTGTGTGTGTGTAAAGATCTTGGCGTGCTCCGGGGTGGTCCCGCGTGGGGCCGGAGGACCGGGAGGAGGTGGGCGCACCTCTCCCTGGGCTGGTCTCGGTTTAAGCCGCCTGTGGCACAGATCAGTGATTGCTGCCCAAGGCAGCAATTAAGCAGGGTGGGTTGCCAGGCTGGCAGCCAGCTTCTCGGCAGCGCAGGCAAAGCTGGACTTCGCCCAGGACAAAGGGGTGATCTATTCCTGCCATGGGAAGGGAGGGGGGCAAAGAGCCCTTAAGATCTGTGCCCTGCTGCCACCAGACGGGAGGAGTGAGGACAGCAAGGGCAGCTGGGAATGGAGCTTCGTCCTCTCCTCACACCTCCGAGCAGGTTCTCCGGGGCTGGCCTGAGTAAAGTGGGCAACGGGGACGCCGGGCAACTTACCCTGCCCTGGGAACCCGCTGCCTGCTTCAGCACTGCCTAGCTCTGCTCACCCGTGGCCAAGCATCCATCTCCTCTGAAGTGATGAAATCAGGCTGGCTCTGCAGAAAGAAAGGCTGGTGGTGCTCCCTGGCCAGGGTCTCTTGAGGAACCGTGCTGAAAAGCAGGTACCGATGGCTTCCAGGAGCGGTGCCTCGGAGGAGCCGTGGTCCCAGGTGGATAAACACCCAGATCCCAGGTGTCCCTGAGGCCCCTTTGGCAAAGATTCAGATGCAGCTCAGAGAAGTGGAGTTCTAAAGATCTAAACCAGACTCCAGCTCCTTTCTTCACAGCGGGCCTCGGATAAATCAGGGCTTCTTTTTCTGAGTCTTGTCCCCGGGACATCAGAAACAAATTGCCAGGCTGCGTTGTGCAACCTCCCCTCACTTGACAAACGCCTGTTGTTGGAGGCTAGGGGTAGGTGCAGGAATGAAAGGTCCCCAGTGGTGTGACTGGCTTTGCCCTTTGAAGGGATCAAGTGGGGTTTTATTTTTACACTTTGCAAAATGAAAACCATATTTTCCGGTGGAGGTGGAAAAGAGATGCTTGGTGAGAAACTGTGCTGTGGAGCTGGGCTGCTGAGATACCTACGGGAGCAATGTATCATTCACCAAAAGGTTCTTTCTCTGCACCCTTTCTCTGAGTCCAAGTGGCATTCAGAGACCACGTACCAGCAAACAGAGAGGCAGGATGCTCGCCTGGAGGGAAACTCCCACAGCAGGAAGAGGTATGAGTGATCCCGATACGGATGGGGCAGGCATCCTGCCCTCTGCTCTGCACCGCCTGCACCAAGAGCCAGCTGGTGATGGCTGCAGCAGGTCTTTTGGGAATGAAGAAATGTGTCTTCTGGGGCAGGGTGCTGAGAGCACTCCTCCTGTGACCCAGAGGGGAGAGGACCCGCAGGTCCAGGTGTTTGCCCAGAGGACCTCCAGCCACTGCTTGCACATCCTATAAGGCGAGCTGCAACGGTGTCCCAAGAGCCCCACGATTTTCAAAGTGCTTTTTTGTGGTTTTCTGGGTATCATATCACCTGTTCGGGTGATACAAACAATCATGGCCTTGGCGGGAGTTGTCTTCATAGAGGCATCTCATTTTGGCAGGGACTGGAAACTTCTATGGCAAGCTTTGGACTCCTTCTCCCCAGAGAAGGGGAAAAAGAAAGTGCTGGGTTTTCTTGTACCTAATAAAAAGCCAATGTTTAATACGTTGAAAACTTTATTTCAGGGCAACCCAAAGCACCTCTGAAGTGTTCAACAGAGTGCGGCCGTTTTACATCTGGGATAGCGGCGAAGCGGATAAGGAGCTACCACAGGACCGAACCCCGCTGCGCCAAACAAGCCATCATGTAAGCACTGCCCCGCCGCCCGCCGCCTGCCTCCCTTGCCGTACGCCCTCCGACACCAGTTAAGCATTAACCTGTCAGCAAATGCCCTTGCTTTGGAGCAAGGAGCAATCTGGAAAGAGAGGGAACGCTGTATTTATTTGAAGGGTGGGTGGGGTTTTTTCCCTATTTGAAGACCGACAGCCTCCAAGTGAGATCAGGGGCTCACACAGAGAGTGAGACAGGGATAAAGGGACGGGGAACGGGACTGACGGACGTACATGCTGGCAGAACGGGGCGGTGGAAGCATGCAGGGCAAGAGCTCGCGTGTTTCTGTGAAAGCAGGTATTTTCTCTGGAAGCAGATTCAGACTCATGAGCTTGACTGGATGAGGAAAACTGCATTTTTTCCCCGGAATAATTGTTGGTTTTATCTTACCCTGGAGGTGAGGGACCATTGAGACCACTTTACTGCAGCTCAGGAGGTTGCTCCAGAGTGAACCTGCTGGGCTGGCCCTGGAAAGCCTCGTCTCATCTCAGTAAATCGGAGGGTTTTGTCTTCATGGACACTTGTCCCTAGGCAGCTGGTGCCTGCAGAGCTTCCTGCTCTGAGCGCCGGGGGCAAACGCTGCGTCCAAACATCAGGACAATGCTTTCGAAAGAGGAAAAACTTCTTAGGGGGAAACCCTTCACCCATGAGTCATGTTCAGCTGCTCCTCATTCAATCAGATCTTAGAGGCACCTGCCTTTCCTGAAATAAATAATCCATCCAACCCGGTGGTGTTTACTACGGGCTTGAGAGAGTCAGTGTTGCTGTCTGCATGCCTTCCCTATCACGCTGATAATCTAAACCAGTGTTTTATTTACCCAGTAAGTGATCCCTTTTTATTTTCAGATTTATTACTCTGAAGTCCTTGGAGATTTGTGCAGATCCGGAGGCAGAGTGGGTGAAGAAGATCGTAGAGAAACTGGACCAGAAAAAGGCCGCAGCCTCCCCCCTCCCACGTGATGCCACCTCAGCAGCGGCGCCAGAAGAGCCCGGTGTTTTTCAGAAACATGTTGGTCTTGCAGTAACGGCTCCATCTCAAGCCACTGCTCCACCTAGTTTTTTCCAAGGGACTGGCACAACAGTTTTGGAGAGAATACATGTTCCTGCTGCCAGGACGGAGGCGTCCACCAAGTCCCCACCAGCCACACAGGACACCACCCAGCTCCCTGCAGGGTCGTCCCCCGTGACACGGGAAATTGCTGCCCGCTCTGAAGTCACTCCAGAAGCAAACAGAGATTCCTTAAAATCTCCTGCACCTTCAACAGCTTCTGCAGCAGGCATGGTCTCCAGCCAGCCCACCCCGTATCCCACGGCTCTTGTGCTTGGCTTTGACAACGCCATAGGATCTACAGAAGAACCTGTAGGACATACTGCAAATGCTAGGGCTGAAGTTCGAGACATGACTTCTCCTGGCTCAGATTCAGACCCCGTGGCCATTGCTATAGGATCAGACCATCCTGTACTTTCTACAGATGAATCCCTGAACCCTACAAGTGCAAGAGCCAACGCACCAGACACTGGTTCTAGCAGTTTTAGTTCAGATCTCCCCTCCACCCTGGACAGCATGGAGACCGCCACAGTCCCAGCCACACCAGTTCCACCAGAGACTGCTTCAGTTTCTACTCTAAACCCCACAACTGCCATAGACGAAGGTCCTTCTGTCCATACCAACAAGGTTGTCAGTTCCTCTGCAGGTGCTTTTGGTACTCGAACATTTGATTATTCATCGCCTGTAGGAAAGCAAGATCCTTCAGATAAGTTAGTTTTTACTAGACAAGCATTCTCAGGCCAAGCCAGAGTGCAGATGACTACAGAAAGGCCAAATGATCTGCCTTTTCCCAGCTTCTTGTCAAGATCTCAAATGCACTTTGTCATCCCAGTTTCTGTGGTGGGTGGTCTGATGGCTTGCAGTGTTGCTGTTGTATGGCTATATCTAAAATTTGGAGTCAAAACAGAAGAAATGTCCAGAGAAATGGTACAGGGCTTGCTCTACCAGAAGGACGGACATCAAAACAATGTCTATCCAATGGAAGTAATCTGAATGCTTTATGGCGTGGACATTTTTGGCCTAAACTATATGTGTGTGGCTGCAGGAAAGCTAGGTTTATGCTGAACTGGTGACCAGTACGAAGCAAGGCAGGGAATAAAAATACCAGAGAAAACTGATGGGTTTTTTGCAGAGCAGAATGTCCAAAAATATATCTAAGTCGTCGCTGACCAATGACAGTATTTTGGAAACAAATGAGACACTTTTTTTTCTTTCTGGCATTGTTACATACAAAGGCTATTGCTGTTCTAGAGCTGCTTGGTGGCTCTCTGCCAGGTGGTGAGCGGAAGCGAATTTCCAAATTGCTGTTGGGAATTTTTCTGCCTTTCATCACGGCCCAGCGGAGAAGCCACCCACTCACCCACGCTGCTGGACTCGGGCTCAGCCACCTTGAGCAATCTGAACACCAAAAGCACGATTTGCACTTAAACTGTCTGCTGCTTCTTTCTTTGCACTTCAGGTCGCTGCTCTGTCAGAGCAAGACCGATGCTGGGGGTCAGCTGGGTGCTGGCTCTCCTTGGGCTGATCCAATACCCCATTTACTCTTGCTGGAGGCACGAGGGACAGTCTAGCTTTTCAGACAGAGGTGATGAAAACTGCATCTGATTAGGGGACTGAAGGTCAGTGCTACAGATTTCACGTTCAGAGGAGCTGCCAACCCACAGTCGGTCTCCTCCTTGAAATCAGACCACCCTTCTCTCCAACAACTGCGGGCATTTCTTCTTGCAGATTTAGTCTGAGACCTGGTTCTTGGCAAATCAACTGCAATAAAACCCTCCTGCCGGCTGATGCGCCCTGGGTCCCGCTGCGTCCAACACCAGGGCAGGATAACGTGGATGAGCCTTTGCAAATGGGAGAAACCAAGAAGTCACCCAATAATTTTGCTATTCCTGTGATAACATTGGAGGGGTTTTTCTGTTCTCTGCAAGCACAAAACCCAGGAAATACTCTCTTGGAGGAGCTAAATGCAATTCTGGATTTAGTCACATAGGAATTACTCCACCACAGCAGACGTACCATCCTGCTGGTCCCATATTCTCTCTAGAAATAAGCACGTTTGCTGATCCACAAAAAAGCACAAAATGCCTGCTCATGGTCTTACACTTCAGCTGCATTTTAGTTTTTCTTTTTTTGGATAGCACTCATCACCAGGCTATTAAAGCCCCGTAACAGTACCAGGCTTTTTTTTAACCCAAATTGGTGTTGATTTTTACACATCTAGATGTTGCTGTATGTAAGCCTTATCTTTTATCTGTGGTCAGTTCCTGAAAGCCCTTATTAAACATTGACTCCAGTATGAATTTTGCTGGAGCGTGCAAAGGTCTTCATGATATGATGCTTTGTAGGTAGAGATATGTATCAAGGGTCAGATCCTCCTCTAACCAACCTCAGTGGATCAGATCCCAAAGTCTATATATGCATGTAGAAAAAAAGAAAGCAAAAACACATAATGAGCAAGATAATCAAAGCAAAAACGATGGGTCAGCTGTAAAGCAGAGCTAGAGAAAGGCGGCCTGTGAGATCCGTCAGATCGCACCTTCAGGGCATCCATCCAGCCCTGGAGGTGGAGAGGATGGACTGCAACGGTGTTTGATTTCTGCCGTCACTCAGTCCCTTATGTCTGCATTTTGTTGGCTTGAGAGAGGGGAGCCAGGGATTCATCTCGGGCTTTGCAAGTACAGAATGCAATCAATCGGATTAATTGTAATTAGGAATTTGGGGTGAAACCCCTCCTTGTGCAGCAGCGCTCCCGTGCAGCCCAGCTGTGTAACACTGGCTGGGGTTGATTTACCTGGAGGGTGAATCAGGGGCTGTCAGCGCCGCCTCCCCATCCGCCCCGCTTGTGCACGGCTGGGGTTCGTGGCCTCGCAGTTCGTGAGGCGGTGTACTATGGCATTATTTTTATATGAAACGCTAGAAATGTTATTTTTGTAGTAAAGTTTTGTAGCCATTTGAATGTATGTAGTATCCTGTCCTTGCTACTGGAGCATCGCGGAGTCGAGACCTTTCTGTGACCATTGGAAAACACCGTGCCTTGTCTATTTCTTGCTGTCTTGGATGGCTTGTGCGCGTCCATGGGAGCTGGGTCACTCTCCAGGCACTACAGCAAACAGAGTGGACACTTGTCTGGCTACGGGTGAAGTCCTCGGCTTGCGGCGATGCTGGGGAGATGAATGTGCACCAGGCAGATCTGATCACTTCAAGTCCCACCACGGTGTTTGTAAGGACACCGGTTTCGGCTCCACGGCCGGCTCCCACCGTCTTCCCGCTGCGCGGACGCTCAGCAGAAGGAGCGGCTCCTCCAGCCCGGTTCCGTCCTTGTGCTCGCCTTGCTCCCCTCTCCTGTTTCCAGGCTGTTAGCAGGCGGGGCGCTGGCAGCCCTCATGGGGGGCACTTAAAACCCAGGACCGGGGGAGGGGGGGGCACCGCTGTTCCTCCTTGCTTTACACTGTGCGATGGGCAGTCTGGGAGGGCACAAGGTGAATGCCAGTGCAGAAGGACGGAGCCTGTGGGCATCACCAGTTCCTGGGGCCTAAAAATGTCATTTGTTGTAGAGCGCAGTGACCGTTACAAGCTCTGATTCCTTTGTGTATTGAGTATGTATGTGTGCACACAAGATATATGTTCTGTACCTTTTTTTAGAAGTAAAAGTAATAGAATCATAGAATAGTTTGGGTTGGAAGGGACCTCTGAAGCCCCTCTAGTCCAACCCCCCTGCCGTGGGCAGGGACATCTTCAACTAGAGCAGGTTGCTCAGAGCCCCGTCCAGCCTGACCTGGAATGTTTCCAGGGATGGGGCATCCACCACCGCTCTGGGCAACTTGTGCCAGTGCTTCACCACCCTCAGTGTAAAACATTTCTTCCTTAGATGTAGTCTATCTCTACCCCCCTTCAGTTTAAAGCCATTCCCCCTTGTCCTGTCACTGCAGGCCCTGCTGAGAAGTTTGCCGCCATCTTTCTTATAAGCCCCCTTTAAGGTCCGTGTCTTTCCTGTACTGAGGGCTCCAGAGCTGGACGCAGTGCTCCAGGGGGGGTCTCACCAGAGCAGAGCAGAGGGGCAGAATCCCCTCCCTCGCCCTGCTGGCCACGCTGCTTTGGACGCAGCCCAGGATACAATTGGCCTTCTGGGCTGCGAGCGCACATTGTCCATGGGGACAAAAGCTGGCTCATGTCCAGCTTTTCATCCCCCAGTACCCCAAGTCCCTCTCGGCAGGGCTGCTCTCAATCCCTTCATCCCCCAGCCTGTATTGATACCGGGGGTTGCCCCGACCCGGGTGCAGGACCTTGCACTTGGCCTTGTTGAACCTCATGAGGTTCACACGGGCCCAC